TGGCCTTGGGCCGTTTGCATGCACTACGCTGGGCGTTTTGCCTTGGACTCCTGGAACTCCATGTTGGCCACATGGGCTACTTCCATCCTTTTCGCCATCTTCCTGGACTTCGTCATCGTCGACCCGTTCACGGCGACATTTTGTGGCTGGATCTGCCCGAAACCCACGGCTGGAAAGGAGGCCGGCAAGGAGGATCCGCAGCTCGTCTCACAGCAAAAGAAGGCCGAAGAGAGCAAAGATCCGGAGCTTGGCCTATCTGAAGAGGTAGTGCCGCGCCGGGAAAGGAGCTCGGAAAGGGCTGAAACGCTTCCCTTTACTGCCTTCCGCTATTCCCAGGTGTGATGTGTGTTCTGGCAATGTTTCTTTGGGCTCGCTTGATCCTTGTCGATCCGTAGAAACATCGCTCGCATTTTGCGCAGAGATTCCCAGAGGCCTATGCAGGAGGCCACTGGGCATCCACCTCCCAACTGTGTTTACGTGTACAGACAGCCCCAGGGCCGCCGTGTACAGACAGCCCCAGGGCCCACCAAGCCACTGGGCATGCACCTCCCAACTGTGTTAGCCCCAGGGCCCGCCCTCCCTGGTAACTCGGCTCCTGTAAAGCTAGTGCCCCCAACAAACGGGCAGGTTTTGACGCTTTCGGGGGCTTCCATGCCCCAACCCACAAGTCTTGGTCAGATTGTAGGCCGCAGAAGACGGACAAAACAAGGTGGGGCGATTTCAGTTGGAGTTTCTCTCGGGGGGTTTTGTCCTGTCTCCATTCTGCAAACCCACTTCAAAGATGCACGGGGTTTAGGGTTTAGGGGATTTAGGGGATTAGGGTTTAGGGTTTCGGGTTTAGACACCGCCAGAGATCTGAACGAGGTCTGGAAGGGTGTTTGCTGCACCTCGGAAATGACGCTATCGCTGGGCCAAGCATCAAGGATCCGGCCAACGGATGGAGCCACACAAGCCCCAATTGAACCCTACAGCAATGCGCATGCATGATGAATTTTGCATGCACGCATCTTTCTGCAACCAGTACCTCGGAAGCATGCAATGTTGCATAAGGAACGCCCATACCGGAGATACAATGTTCAGTCATTATAATAGCAACAGTCGGTCCCAGACTGCAGAACCTAAGCCGGATGGGCCGAAACCGTAAACGCGCTTGAGCCTGGCACTGCCATCAGATGATAGGCACAGGTGGGAGTGGATGCAGCAATACAGCGAATTTGGCTCAAGGTCCAAGCGGTAGTCACTGACAGCGCCCTCGTTCAGGTCTTTCAATCTGTCATGGAGGGC